CCCAGGGTGAGGGTTGCCTTGCCGAGGCAAGACCAGTCTCACCTATGGTTGGCGATGGTCACCCTCACCCAGCCCTCTTCAAGCATCACCGGTGGTGAAGAAGAAAAAAAACAAAAAAAGGAAAAATAAAGAAAAAAGGAAAAAATAACAAAATAAAAAATAATTTAAAATTAAAATTGTCTTTGGACACAAATGTCCTTAACTAGTTGGAATATTTAGCCGGCGGGTGAGGTCAAGCTCTTATTTGAAACTGTCCGGCCACTACATGCCCTTATTTGATACTAACATGGCTACTTCATACCCTTATTTGAGAAAATGAGGACACTTTAGGCCCTTATTTAAAATTTTCTCATTGATTTATGTCTCATGAAACAAATCGGTATCCCAATCCAAGAAAAATTCCAAACTAATTACCCTGATGCAAATCCGCCTTCTGTAGTGGGATCAAGATTTGGATAGGGAAAGTCAATTATAAATTTTTGGTGAAGTGAAAATTAATTTGACATTATTATATCACTAATATTTTTAAGGGTTAATACCACAAAAAACTTCAAACTGGTACGTCTGTGACAAATTTACCCTAAATTAATTTTTTCACCATCAAAAATCGCATACTGATACACCTGTGACAAAATTACCCTCTGTTAGTTTCCGTTATATTTTACTATCAAATTCCTAAGTTAGATGACACGTGGCAGTTGACGGGTATACTAGTTTAAGGTTTTACCTCTCTATTTGTCATAGATTTACCCGTTTATGATTTTTCATGGTATTAATTCAATTTAACAGATAATAAATTTGTCACAAGTATATCAATTTGGGGTTTTTAATGGTCAAAAAATTAGTTTTGATTAATCTATCACATATGTACCAATTTAAGATTCTTCACGGTATTAACATATTTTTAACGGTAGTAACCTTAATTGAAAATCGAGTAATAGGAGTCATGGACGCCGGTGATGTAGAGGTGGCCACGGGCCAGTTTTGGCCCGGAATCGGACCGGAACCGGCCCGGTTAAACCCGGGCCCGGCCCGTTGACCGGGCCCGCGGTTCGGAACCGGAACCGGCCCGTGGCATACGGTCCCGGTTCCGGTTCCAGAAAAATTTGAACCGGCCCGGAACCGGCTCTGCGAAAAAAATAAATAAATAAATAAAATAATAAAAAAAAAGCTGCAGCAGCAGCAGCCTGCAGCAGCCCGTTGCCAGGCAACGGGCCAACGGCCAAACCCAAAAAAAAAAAAAAAAAAAAAATTTATCCGCAACAGGGCCTGCAGACGTGTGCAGGCCCTGCTGCGGGCTTGCACCTTGCGGCCCGTTGGGGCAACGGCTACGCCCCAACGGGCGTTTTTATAAATAAATAAAAAACACATAACCGTTGCAATTTTGCAACGGTTATGTTTTATTTTTTTTAATTCTAAATTTTCTTCTATTTTTTTCCTATAAATTCTCTCAAATTCTCACAATACACACACAATTCTCTCAAATTCTCTCCAATTCTCTTCTCTCAAGTCTCAAATTTTCTCAATACTCGAAATTCTCTCAAATTCTCTCAAATTCTCTCAATTTTCTCAATCCACGCAATTCTTTCTTAATTCTCCCAATTAATCCGCTCAATTCTCTCAATCCATTCGAAAAATGGCAAGTGGAAGTCGAGTGCCAACTGGCAAAGGTAAGAATATCGCGACGGAATCCCATCATTCTTTTGATCCTCATGAATATGCAGATTTTCAAGATGATGAAATCAACATTTTTCGCGATGTGGAGCGCGTCCCGACGCAAGAAAGTTTTCATCCTCCTGCTGAAATATCTACAACAAAGGAAGCGGAACGGGAATTTACATCTGACATTTGGAATCACTTCACGAAAATGGAAAGGTTTGATATCGGTCAAAAAAGGTATGATATAATTTGTAAATATTGTGGAAAAATATATAAATATACAGGTGGACAAGGATATGGAACATTTAAACGACATCTTATGAGCAAACATCCAACCGAAACGGGAATCGATATCGGGCAACAACAAATTTCCGGGTACGTAAATCCTAACACTTCCCCTTTATTTCGTTTTAATGAAAAAACTTATAAGGAAGAATTAGGCAAATTTATTTTCGTTGAGCATTTAGCATTTAATTTTGGAGAAAGATTTGGTTTTAATGAATTTGTACAAAAAGCATGTGCTCCACAAGGAAAACGTGTTCCTAGAAATTCAATTAAACGAGTAATTAAAGATCTTTACAAAAATGGAAAAAATGATTTACAAAACTTTTTTATGCAATTTAATGGATGTGTGCATATAGGTAGTGATATTTGGAGTGATCATTGGCAAAATCATTCTTACATGGGCATAACATGTCATTGGATAGATGACGAGTGGACTATTCAAAAAAGAGTTATTGCATTTAGAGTTTTCGATGATCATCATATGGCAAATAATATTTATAGAATAATTAGGCAAGTTTTAGAAGAATATTATTTGCTTAACAAAATTTTTTCAATTGGTTTTGATAATGCCGCAGCAAATACCGCTTCAATTGCCGAGTTAGAAAATATTTGTAAACCCGCTTTTGGCGGAAAATTTTTTCACATTAGATATGCTTGTCATGTTTTAAATTTATGTGTACAAGATGGTTTGAAAACTCTTGATATTTTTCTTCAACCAATAAAAACGGCGATTCAATTTTTATGGAAACATCCCAAAAAAATGAAAGAATGGGGTAGATTTTGTAGAGATAATGGCAAAAAGCCAAAAAGATTTTCAAGAGATGTTCCAACTCGTTGGAATTCTACTTTCCACTTGCTTAATGAATCTTTAGCATATAACGATTTATTATGTGCATTCATTTCTAATAATATACCTGAGATTAATTTATACCCACAAGAGTGGCATATTTGCCAAAAAATTTTAGATCTTTTAAAGGTTTTTAATGATGCAACTTATACTTTGTCTGGTGTTTATTATCCTACTACACATTTATTTTTAGTAGAGTGTACTAATATTGTCGGAACTTTTGATGAATATGAAAATGATGTTGAATTACAACATACTATAGTTGCAATGAAAATGAAATGGCTTCATTATTATAGTGAAATTCCCATGATTTATTTAGTTGCTTGTGTTTTTTATCCGCGTTGCAAATTGGATGGCTTAAATGATTTTTTGCGTGCGTATTATCAATGTTTACATTATGATGTGACAAATGTTACAATCATAGTACGTGAGGTTAAAAACGTAGTAATATAATTATATAATGAATTTTATACTAAATATAATTTAGGTGATATTAGATCTTCTCAATCTACGGAGATACAAAATGACAGTACCGGTAAAATTAGTAGAGGGTACCAACTTTTATTACATAGACAAAAAAAAACAAAAGGGAGTAATAGGAAATATTTCTGAATTAAAGAGTTATCTAACCATTTTATTTGAGTTTACTGAAGCCGAAGGTGGTACAGATTTTTTTATTTTGGATTGGTGGAAGAGGAACGCAAGCCAATACCTAATCCTTTCTCTTATTGCAAAATAGATTTTTTCAACCCCTTGTTCCACAGTTGCGGTCGAACAAGCATTCAGTGCCGGAGGTAATATTTTGAACGAACATCGTTCAAGATTAGATCCAGAATCAGTGGAGATGCAAGCTTGTGTTGCTGATTAGACGAAGGCTCAATACCGGCAATAAGAGATAGATCGGAATAATGAATCCGAATTCTTTAACGACGGAGATACTACCGCTACCAGTATCGGTACTGGAACGGGTAGTGACGATTGAGGGTAAAAGAACTATTGGAGTTGGCAAATATTTCGGGAACTCTTGTTTCTCATACCGGGTACGCCCACGTGAGCTTAGGGAAATCGAAATATAATCCGACGATATGTGACCTCTGGTCCCCTGCGCACGGAATGCTTAGGTTTTGGGATAATTTTAGGGTATATATATTGTACTCCTTTTTTTTTTAAGATCGTTGTAACGAATTGTAATGTGCTTAATGATAATTTATTAAGTTAAAGCCCTCTCTTTCTCTCTTGTCTTTTTGTCCCCAAATTTGAGTACAATTTACATTTTAATCACAATTTATATTGAATAATGTTCTATCACAAGAATAGTATTTTTTTAATTTTTTTTATTTTCATTTCTGTTTTTCCTTTTCTGTTTTTCTTCTTTTTCTTTTCCTTTTCCTTTTCTGTTTTTCCTTTTTCTCTTTTGTCTTTTTTCCTTGTTTCTGTTTTTTAAAATTATAATTTATATTTTAATTTTTTTTTCTTCCTCCGCGGCCGGCCATGGCCGGGGCCGGCGCGGAGGTCGCCGGCGTCGGGCGAGGGGGCCTCGCCGGCGTCGGGCGGCCCTCGCTTGGGCCGGGCGAGGCCGGCCTCGCCCGACGCCGGCGAGGCTCGGCCTTGCTCGCAACCGGGCGAGGCCGGACCTCGCCGGCGTCGGGCGAGGCCGGCCTCGCTGGGCCGGGCGAGGCCGGCCTCGCCCGACGCCGGCAAGGCTCGGCCTCAACCGCAACCGGCGAGGCTCGACCTCGCCGGCCGTCGGCGAGGCCGGCCCTCGGCGAGGCTCGACCTCGCCGGCGTCGGCGAGGCCGGCCTCGCCCGGCCCGGCGAGGGCCGGCCTCGCCCGACGCCGGCGAGGGCCGCCTCGCCTGAGAGCCGGCGACCTCCGCGCGGCCCGGCTATGGCCGGCCGCGGAGGAAGAAAAAAAAAAGAAAAGGAAAACGAAAAGAAAAAAAACAGAAAAAAAAAATAGGAACCGGCCCAGAACCGGTTCCGAACCGGAACCAGCCCGGAACCGGAACCACCAGAGGCGGTTCCGGTTCCGGTTCACACTTGGCCATGAACCGGAACCGCCGGTTCCGAACCGTGGCCACCTCTACGGTGATGTCATAAAATTCGACCGCGACCATCCTCGCTTCTTGGCTCCGAAAGTCACCGAGCTCAATGAGCTCCTCTTTCTCTGCTCGGTGCCTCCTTCAGTTTTTCCTTTTCCAGGTGAAAAGCATGCCCTCCTAACTGAGAATTTCTGTTGTCGTCTTTAAGCTGTGTGTTCGCCAATTCTTCTTCTGATTTGGCGTGGCTGTGATCGATGCCTCTGGCTTATCTTTATCGCTTTCTGGATGTGGAGAGAAGTAATTGAATTGCTGATGTCGATCATTGGGAAAGTTTCATTTCACTGCTTGTTTTCTTGTGGGTTCTCAGAAAGAGAAACCTTGGACGAGACCCACGTTTTCTGGACGCCCCAAATCCGAGAATTTGGCCTTGATTTCATGTTGAGGGTTTGAAATTCGTTTTCCGCTGGTAGGTTTGGTTGAGAGTGAAGGGAAAGTTTTTACTCTTGTGGAAGAATTAAAGAGAGTCAGGAGAGTCAATTTACTCTGTGTAAGAACAGCTACTATCTCCATTCTCCACAGCCGGCAACGCATCTTGATCGTTATCCATCCCTCAGATGCAATGGTCAAGGTGCCCCCTTGATAAGCTGTTTGCCATTCAGAACTGTTTTCTTTCGCTAACTCGTCCTTTCGATCGATTGCTGAAGTAATCGTAAATCGATGTTTGTCGTCCGTTACTGAAGATGTTTATATCTGTTTGGGTTCTTTTTCTCTTCTGCGTTCGATTTCGAACCTCAAAATCTGTTGTGTCGAGTCATGTTGGCTTTCTGGTATACTTAGTTATGCTCTTTGAACTTTTGTAGCTTTATATGTTTGTGGTTGGGCACGCACTTCACTAGGCATTTTGTTCATGTGAAATGATCTGTTCTTTTGTTGCAGCAAATTGTTACAATTCGAAGAATGCTTTTTCTGTATTGTGGTTGTCATGCTGGCAGTGGCGCACTAAAATCTGTATTTGTTTGGTCCATGACGATGGCTCTTGCGTTTCTCTTTTGTTGAATAGCCGGTAAAATAAGTTACTGTTCTGTCTTATGAATTCACTTTCTATCTCAGGAATGAGTAAGATGGAAAAACAGAACGATGCCGCCGCTGCCACCCCTGCTGCACCGCCTCTAACTTCATGTCGAAAGAAGAAGGATGACGCCACCTTTTTGGAGGATATAAAGGATCACATTGATGAATTCATCAATGCATCCGTGCATGAGCACAAGAGCTGTTTCACAAAGACCATTCAGAAGGTATCATCTTCCTCAATTGCACCTCTAGCTTCGCCATGAACCCTCTTTATGCATCATGTAGTCTCCTCCCCCTTCCTCCAACTTACTTCCATGTTTTCCCCATGCAGATATTTGGAATGTCAAAGGTTGTCGCGGAGAAGAACGCCGCCGCTCAGGAAGTTGAAAGTTCGCTGCCTCTTAAAACGGTTGTATCAGACTAGAACATGCTCCTGACGATTGACATAGATTTCCTTGTGGATGCTTCGCTTTTTCTTTCAGAACGACATTTCGTGATCATCACTTAAAATGCGACTGGTTCTTAGCTGTTCCCATCATGCTGTGAGTTGAAGTCTGGTTAGTTCAGATAAGTAGGCTTATGGAAATGGTGGGGTGTTACGGTTTGACCAGACATAACCCGCACTTTGCATGGATTGTCATGCGAAATAGAAAGTACAACGTTGTGTTAATACATAATTAGATGATGAAAAAACCATACAGACAAGTTAAAATGGTCATGAACATGGATTGGGTACTATCTTCCTCTTAAAGATGTTTGACAAGTTTAGGATGAAGTGATCTCAAGAGATTCCAATGATCTTCGTTACGTGTTACCCCTAGTTCCATTCTGTCTGCTCTGTTTCTATAATCTGTAAGTTTGCGTTTGAGTTTGTTCTGTCGAAAGCTCTTGACCATATCTACTTTACTCATGGTCTTTGGTGCCATTGTTGGCCCTGTCACCCGACTCACCTCCGGTAATGGCACAACACCAGTAACCTCACTCAGCTCCCTCGACCACCATAGATCTTCCACCGAATCCTCCGAACCCCTTGCCTCTCTCTCTCTCTCTCTCTCTCTCTCTCTCTCTCTCTCTCTCTCTCTCTCTCTCTCTCTCTCTCAACAACAATCACAACCTCCGGTACAATCCAGACCGAGAGGTCGCGCAACATCGATCTAGACATTTTCCACACTGTGCAAGTATTGCAATTGATCAATTGAGAGTTAGTGATAGAATGACGACTTGATCCATACACACAGAGAGAGAAAGGAGGAGGGAGGAGACGATGAAGGCCTCGGTGCTGGCGATAGCGGTGCCGGGGAGTGGATACCAACAGGGGTGGGTGATAAGTGGGTTAGTTTTGTGAGTGATTCGGTGAAGGAAGTTTCTTCTCAACATAGTTGTTGAGTGTGGGGTAAGGTAGTATGATCCCTCGTGCATTTTCGTCATAAATAAGTGTGTGTTTGTTTCACTAAAAATTTCAGGATAAAAGAAAATATTTTTCATAGAAAATGGTTAGGCGGTTTAGGGAAAGTGATTTCCTTCTTTTACCAAAAAAGAATGTCGTTTTTTTGAAGTACTTTTCCGTACGTAGATCAGTTTTTTGTCATCTAAATATCGGTAAATTGGAAAATAATTTCCTGAAAACAGTTTTTCTTCAAACAAATGTACCTTAAGATGTAATGATTTTCTCAAATAGATGACGTGAAGTAGAATAGATGACAAACAAACTAAAACCTCTAAGGCTACATTTGGTAGTCAGGATAAAATTCAAGATAGGATAAAATTTATCATATCTCGTGTTTGGTGCCTGCTCAAGATAGGATAAAATGGGATATAAAAGGGATATAACCCGGATAAAATTATTCCATGGGGAGGTAGGATAAAGGTGGATAGGATTTTTAATATCCATAATATAAAAGTAATTTTTCTCGAATAACAAAATTGTTAAATTAAAATAATTAAAATAATATTTGAATATAAATAATATTTGAATTTTAATATAAAAATTCAAAATAACAAAAAAATAATAATAATTTCGTTTTCATTTATTCTTGTTTTTATTTATATATTCAAATTTCTTTTTATCTTATGACATAAATTTCATGTATAATATATATTACATATTTTAGGTATATTAGTATAGTTTACTATTTAATAAAATTTTATTTGAGAATGATGGAAGGGGAAAAAACGAATAAAAAAGAGAGGGAAAAATGATAAAAAAAATTAGCAAATTATTATGAAATACATGAATGAATATTCATTATATTCAATGTACCTATTATGGCACATTTGTAACCTACATTCTACGTATGAATGCCCATCTCCCTATTCAATGTATATATTCAATACATTGACATTAATGATATGTGCATCCTTGTTTCCTTATAAATAGGAGCTTATTTTTTGTCATTGGGTAAGAAATCAGATCAGAAGAAGAGAATGAAAGAGGAAAATATACAGTGAAAATAAAATTTCTCCTCTGACTTTCTCTACCATCTTTGGTGCTTATCTACTTTCTCTACTTAATCTCTCTCTATTCTCTCTATTATATTCTTGCAGCGCAATATTTTACAACACGTTATCAGCACGAAGATCTACCAATTGAGTAAATAATTTTTGCAAGGTAAGTATATATTCTCTTTTTTTATTAATCAACTTATACTTCATCTTCTTCTATCAATTTTGTTTCTTTTGCTTGGCCTGAAGCCAAATTTCCAACCTAAAAGTATCCTTCTGCTCCTGAAGTGGCGGTGGATATTTGGAAATCCTTCTAATTAATTTAAGGATTCGTTTGTTTAGCAAGAATTATGGCAAATATTGAAAAGCCCAAATTCCACATCCTCGAAGTGAGTGGAAATAATTATCTATCCTGGTGCCTTGACATGGAAATGCACCTCCAAGGGCAAGATCTTGCTAATGCAATTACAGAAGACGGAACCTCAAATGCAAAAGATAAAGCAAATGCACTGATTTTTATTCGTCGTCATTTGCATGAGAGCCTGCAGACTCAATATTTATCCGTTCGAAACCCTCAGACCTTGTGAAAGAGGTTGAAGGATAGGTATGATCATACCAAGACTGTTATCCTTCCTCAAGCACAATATGACTGGCAAAATCTCAGACTACAAGATTTTAAATCAGTGTCTGACTATAACTCCGCTTTATTTGATATTGTTTCTCGGCTTGAGTTATGCGGTATCAAGCTCACTGATGCGGAACTGTTAGAGAAAACTTTCTCCACCTTCCATGCTTCGAATATTGTATTGCAACAGCAATACCGGCAGCGTCAATTTGACACATACTCTGAATTAATTTCTGTGCTCCTCACTACTGAGCAAACTAATGAATTGCTGCTCAAAAATCATGATCTTAGACCTGCTGGCTCAAAAGCATTGCCTGAAGCACATGCTAACTCTGAGAAAACTACTAGCCATTTTAAGGGCTACAAGCGCAGGCAAGAATATAATCCTCGAAGGGGTGGCAGAAAATTTAACCGCCCTAGGAAATCTAACTTTGGCCCGAATCATGACAAAGAAAAGAAGCCAAAGAAGGTGACTAATGAAAGTATTTGCCATCGTTGTGGCATGACTGGGCACTGGTCACGTACTTGTCATACGCCAAAGCACTTTGTTGATCTATACCAGGCATCTTTAAAAAATACGGGCAAACGTGGTGAATCTCACGCCATTGAAATTAATCCTGCTGTCATAACCACTGTTGAGGCCAACAATATCTCTGTTGATGGGACTCCTCTTGCTCCTGAAGTAGCAAAAGCATCCTTGGATGTCTCTGATTTCTTTGAGGACCTCTGATTACTTTGATGAAGCATCAGACTGGTGGATGACATCTTAGACTTCGAATTTTATGATTATAATAATTTCTTTTCTAGTTGTTTTCTTTAAATGTATTACCTTTTATTATTCTTTAATATGGTTATGCAATGAAATGCTTATGAACTTGACATAATATTTATTATTTTGAAATTTTATTTGACCCTATAACTAATATGAAAATTTTATGATACTTGACACCTGAAGTTGTCAACATAAATGCAAATGGAAAACACCGAGAAAAAGGAAGATGTTTGTTTACTTGATAGTGCATCAACGCATACCATATTTCGTAGTAGACACTTTTTCTCGAGTATGACATTGCGTAAGACACATGTCCATACAATATCTGGTCCTATTCCGATTATTGATGGTTTCGGGAATGCCACAATTGTTTTGCCAAAAGGCACCATCCTGCATATTGATAATGCATTTCTAAGCAGTAGATCAAAAAGGAATCTGCTTAGCTTCAAAGATGTACGCCGTAATGGGTACCATGTTGAGACTATTTATGAGCAAAATAAAGAATATATTGACATTACCTCTTATAAGATGGGCCTGAAGACCATCCATGAGAAGCTAGAAGCTTCTTCTATGGATTTGTATTGTGTCATGATTAAGGCCGTTGAAACCTACTCCACCATATCCTGGAGATTGGTAAACCCTGATCAGTTTGGATTATGGCATGATCGCCTTGGTCACCATGGCGCTTCAATGATGCGTAGAATAATTCAAAATACAAAAGGGCACCCTTTAAAGGATACAAAGGTATTATTGTCCAAAGATTATAATTGTGAAGCTTGTTCACAAGGAAAACTCATTATCAAACCTTCTATAACAAAGGTTGATCTTGAATCCCCTTTATTCCTGCAAAGAATTCAGGGTGATATTTGTGGACCAATACAACCACCAAGTGGACCGTTTCGATATTTTATGGTACTAGTGGACGCATCCTGTAGATGGTCCCATGTTTGTCTATTATCTACGCGCAATGTCACCTTTGCACGTTTACTTGCGCAGATTATAAAGCTCCGGGCACAATTCCCTGATTATCCAATTAAAAGCATAAGGATGGATAATGCTGGTGAATTTACATCAAAGAGTTTTGATACGTATTGTACTTCACTCGGAATCGAGGTCGAGCACCCGGTCGCATATGTTCATACTCAAAATGGATTGGCAGAATCATTGATTAAACATATCCAAATCATTGCCCGCACTCTATTATTGAGAACGAATCTCAACGATACAACATGGGGTCATGCAGTTTTGCATGCGGCAGCCCTAATAAGATTGTGCCCCACTACTAGTCTTTTACAATCTCCCCTTCAAATGGTTCTTGGTTATGAACCTGATATTTCACATTTACGCACATTTGGTTGTGCAGTACAGGTGCCTATAGCACCGCCAAAAAGAACGAAAATGGGTCCCCAACGCCGTTTGGGCATTTATGTTGGGTTTAATTCACCGTCCATCATTAGGTTCTTGGAACCAACTACTGGTGATCTTTTTATTACCAGATTCGCAGATTGTCATTTCAATGAGACTATGTTTCCATCGATTGGGACACCTAAAACTGACATGGCTGCGAAGCAAAAACCAGTTAAGGTTTTCTCCTGGAATGAGAAAAAATTATCTCAATTAGACCCAAGAACTCCTGAGTGTGAAAACGAGGTGCAGCGCATAATCCATTTACAGGCTATAGCCAATAGACTTCCTGACGCATTTAATGATGCTACTAAGGTAACGAAGTCTCATATTCCAGCTGCAAATGCTCCAGCTAGGATAGCTGTTCCCGAAGGACAAGCTAAAATGGATCAAAATCCCCCACATTTGAAGCGT